CACTAATGATAAAGGACTGATCACAAAAATCTGCAAAGAGCTGATGAGACTTAGCAACAACAAAGAAAATAATCCAGTCAAAAAATGGGCAGAAGAGCTAAAAAGAAACTTCTCTGAAGAGGAAATGCAAATGGCCAACAGGCATATGAAAAAATGTTCAACATCACTTGTAATCAGGGAAATGCAAAACTTGTCTCTCTTCTTATTTCACTTAGCATAGTTTCCTTTAGTTTCATCAATGTCATTACAAATGGCATGAACTCATAGTTTACAGCTGATTAGTATTCCATTATTAATATGTATTACATGTTCTTAATCCACTCATTTGTCATTGGGCACTTATGTTATTTCTATAACTTGACTATTGTAAATAATGCTGCAAACAACATAGGAATACTTACATCCCTTCAAATTAGTGTCATTGTATTCCTCAAGTGGACACTTAGGAGTAGAAATTGAGGCATGTGGGGTCTCTTCCAGTTTGAAAAATCAATAATTTATTTATCTTGAGACATTTCACAGACTTTTTAATGAACATTTATTGTCATTGAAAGTAAGATAAGTTTTGCTTAATGGTACTTATCAGAAAGGCTTTTGAGACCTTTATGAATGTAAACATACTGTACTAGATTACCAACAACTATTAAAATTCACATTTAATGTAATCAAAAGAAAAGAGTAATTTTCATGTTTTAGCAGTAGATATATATATAGACATTAAATGAAGAATTAATAATACTTTTTTTTTTAAAGATTGATTGATTGATTGATTTATACAAGCACTGGGTACAGTCAGAAGCACGGGAGGGTGAGAGAATTCACCAGAGCCAGAGCAGGGAATAGAACAGGCAGAGGGCCGAAGTACACTGCTGAGGGGAGCAGTGGGAGGCAAGAGAGGTCTGCGCGCCATGTGCGACCCTTGCCTGGCGGCCAGGGATCAAACCGGTGCTGCAGAGGCTGCGGGCATTCGCAGCCCAGCGCTCAACCGCTGCGCCACCAGTGGAGACCCCTAATAATATTTGTTTTATGTGGGATTTTGAGATTGGAATTTGACACAGAATTTCTACTTTGGGGAATTTAATCTTTGGAGAGGCCAACACACATATAAAGAATTGTTTAATGCACACATGTGTTAGAGCTGAAAATTTGAAACAAATTAAATATCTGTTAAAGTAGAATGTATAAATAAGTATATCATGAGACAGATCTATAAATGCAGGATGTACTAATGTACAACAACCTTTACAACATATAATTAAGTGAAAAGTGCAAGGTAAAAAGTCACATATGTGTTATAATTCCATTTATATAAATAAAAATGTGAAAATAATTTACATTTATATATTGACAGATATTAACCTCTGTGCTGTCATCTGCATGCAATATTTTCCTGAATAGTTATGCACTTGACAGTGTATTCCTAAATTAAAACAGTGTATTCCTAAATTAAAAAAGACTGCTTTTGAAGAAAGTTTAGTTTCTTAGTTTAGTTTCTTTAGTTTCTTCCAGTTTTAAGAAACTGGATAGTTTCTTAAAAGTTTGTTAAATGCATAAGTAAATGTTGCACCTTACTTATGTTTTAAGGCTAGTGCAACTTTTATTAAAGAGCCAGAAAGAGAAAAAAGAAAACTGAATTATAAGTGTTTATAAATACAAAACTCTCAAATAAAATTTTATTAACCCAAATCAAAACTGTGATAATGATATCCCATTTTCTTCCCAAGAAGAAAATTGAACATGATAAAAACTATCAATATAATCAATCATGTTAATGATCTAAAAGAATAAAGTGAATATCTCAGTTGATGTAGAAATAACAATTGACAAAATTGTCCCAGATTTACGTTAAGAAATGAAATCCTCATAAAAATAGTAATGAAAGGGAACAGAATTCTTTTTGAAAGCAACAAGTTACGCATTTCTAATAGGCTGCTATGCAGAAACCACACACAAAAGAACCAAAATGTAAGTATCAGCAAAATAGACAAGCATGAAGGAGCTTATACCATAGACATTTTTTGGGACAATAACACAGGCACACAAACAGCAGGTGCATGAAGTATTCAAGGCCATACCAATATTTGTATTTGTGGTAGTCAAAGGAACACAATGTGGATACATTAGAGATAGTCCAGTGGATGAAAGGGGAATAACACATGAGCACATGGGCTGAAGAATCAAATAATAAAATAAAACAAATAAATAAAAAGGAGTTTTGCCTTGTCCAATGATGATATAATATGAAGTGACAAGTCTGACCAAGACAGTCTCTACAATATTCCAAAATAAATAAGTAAATTTAAAAATATGACATATATCCTGCACCCAACATACACCTGTGACATAGCCTGGGAAAGATTTTTTGGTTTTAAACTGTTTGCTGCGTATCCACAAAGTGGGGTCACAGCACAGGGGTCATGCCCAGAGGCCTACATTTCCATTTTTCCTCTTGCCATTTCTGAAACCTCAGGAGAATCACTAGGCACAGTGGTTGAAAGGTTCCTTAGACTAAGAAGACCTTCCTGAGTTTTGTGTATTATCAAGAGAAACTAGATGCCTAGGAATTGTATGACTACCTAGCACATAGTAATTGTTTTAATACATATTCCATCTCTTTCCTCCAACAGTGCAAGCCCCAATAATTTCATAGTCAATGCACAACCTGTCAGAAGGAATACTTAGGAGAGAGACAGGGCCTACCCCATAAATACTTACTTTCTTAACACTAAATTTTTCCAGAATATCTTCCATTCTGTAGTCCTAACTTTAAATTCTAGAATCTGTGATAAAGATATGATGGCAAATAGGGCCAACCAGAAAGAGGGGGGAAAGTAGAGGTATTATAAGTGAAGAATTGCACATTAACTTCTTCAGTCTGCACAACCTTGTAAGTAATGTAAGGTGAAACTCTTCATTCTGTCATAAAAATGTCTGATAAATGTTGATGGAACCTCATTTCAGCCTTACAGACTTAGCAAGTATATTGCCATCTATATATATTTTTATAATCAATGATGGTGTTGCTATTTTCTTCCATAATTGGAGCATTTATTGAGAGATTCCCCACTGTTTGACTGATGCACTTCATTCTCTAAACTTTTTTCCTGCTGTGTCCCCACAGTTATGATGCTCAAAATTTATAGAGTTTAGATTCTTCTTGCTGTTGTTTTGCATTCCTACTAACTGTTTATTCATAGGATAAGAGTAAGAGAGTTTTATATTAAAGTGGGTTTTATATAGATTATTAAAAATAGTGCTCTGAGAACAATCACTTATTTTTGATGGATTCCATCGAGACACGGTAATACTGCCTAACATCACAAATAACCCTACTTTGTGCGTCATGTTGACTGCCTGGTAAACAGTTGGAGGGATGTTTCATCAGAAGGTAGTTCAAGGTTTATGAGGCTGGGATTCTATTCAAGTTCTATGGGCAGTGTGCTTATTAATCAGTCAGAATGTTGAATTCCACTGTTGGGGTTCTGTTGAGCATTGTGAATTTAGAATATGCAGGGCAGAACAGACCTACATATTCTGTCTCTGTCTGTCTCTCTCTAATCACTGCCAACTCTAAGTGAAAATTAATATTTGACTCTGCTGGCCTATTATTGTTATAGATATTATATGGTACCCCATGTACCTTAGGGCATAGAGGTATTGTGGGACAGATATGAGTTTATTTTCTTTCTTAATGTTTGATGGGAAAATGAACTGCTAAGTTAAAGTAATGCAGTGGAAATAAGCATCATTCAATAAGTCTCCAAAAAGAGCTAGTATTCAAATTAAAAAGCATAATGTCCATTTCAAGAGAGTCCGTTCTGACGCCAAGAGCTATCATTAAAGCATAATGATATCAGTAACTTAGGGTTTTTTTTTTAAACAATTTTCTTTAACAGCTGCATGAAAATAATTGTTTGAATCTGCGTAGAAAGTCAGGTTCTTCTCAGTGTTTTACTCTGAAGTCTATTATCATTCCACCTGGGGATAGGCAGGAAGAATACAGTTAAGTTTAGATCATATCATTGTCCTTTGTTTTGTTAGCGCTATTGAGAGACTTGGCAGCTATCCAGATTTCATTTTTCAACAAAAATGACCCTTCTGCTCCACTGACCAATCTCAATGTCCTTTTATTGCTGGTTGGTTAACAGATTGGTTGATTTTTTTTTTCTTTTCTCCTCCGACTGCTTACATTTTTATGTTTGTCTTAAATGTACAGTTGTAAGCAAGGTGAATATAGGATAATTTGACATGACTTCAGTACCTTGTGTTTTATAACAGTGATGCTTGAATTTTATTTTTGTTTTCCATCATCTCAATTTAATTTAGGGGCCTTCTTTTGCCTGGTTAATATGACCAAAAATTACGATCTATTTATCATCTGATACTTTTAGGGTTAGAAGAACATAGGCACCAGTCAGAAGTCCTGCATTGTTAGACACTAGTTGGAATTCCTGAGGAATTAGACCCCAAGAAGGATAATTAGTGACCTAGGACAGTACAGCCACATAATGACAGATCTGTGTCTAGAATCCAGCTCACTGGACTTGCTGAAGAGTTTTGTTGTTTTTTTGTTTTTGTTTTTGTTTTTTTTTCTCTAAATATAACCCCCTTTGCTCTATTCCCAACTTATGTGTAACAACTGAGCAGATCCGAACAACAAATCTTTCATGTGGACTTCACTCCCCAAACTTGCAGTTTGATGGCTTCAAGTGTTTGACAGTGCATATGACAATATAATTTATCCTGTGACTGCACAGATGACATCCTGTGAATACTGCTTGATGCCTCTGCAAAATCGTCCCTGAAAAGATTGTAGCTGTCTATGAATCCACAGATTCCATAGTTTTCCTTTGAAATATACCTGAAAATGTCACTCTCACTGTTAGGCAAAAACAAATGTCAGATGTGGTGACACCATTATAATTACTAATTATAACACCAATGTGATATATTTTTTCTCACCACTGTGCTCATCTATATATCCTGTTTTGTTATTCTAGGTTTGTGTGCTGGAGAGGCAAATATTTGACTTCCTTGGATATCAGTGGGCACCTATCCTGGCAAATTTTATACATATTATTATCGTCATTCTTGGTTTATTTGGAACTATTCAATATAGACCTCGTTACATAACAGGAGTAAGTACCCTTCTTGCCTTTTAAATTTTTTTATTGAAATAGAAAAATATATGCAAACTACAGATGTCTTCAAAACATCCATGTATATTCTGTCCTTAATGTACCATATGTTGTTTTCATAGTTTCAGATTACATTACAGTAATTTCAAATATGAAGTACTTGACAGTGGATGTAATGAGATTGTATTTTCATAAATTGTTATTTCAGCAAATATTCTCTTATAATTACTAGCAGAAATGTGCCCCAATATTTCCAAATTACAAAGGCATGGCCTCTGATTTAACAATTTTAATGGGGAATTTTCTCATTTTAATAATCATATTTATTAGGCTGATAGTATAAAATTCATATAAGAGACTGTATAGATATATAGCTTGGTGTGAAAATATTATACATATTAGGATTATTATCTGACATACTTGTAGGCCAGGATTCTGAACCACAGTCTCTGTGTTTTTCATAATTCTCTTCTTGGCTCAGAGAAAGTATTTTGCATTACCACTCAAGTTAAACTTACTTAACATAAAAGTGAAACCCAACTGTGTTGCAGTTGCTATGGGAACCATAACTTTGGATATTTTACTTTTGTATGTGCCTCAGATCTCAGCTATAGCTCTTCATTAATGTAGATTTTTTTTTTTAGTTTCATCATTTTTTCTATTTCTTCTATTTTTGACAAAAGAAATGTCTATAGGCATTTATTTAAAATTATAAAGCAAGTTTGTGGCAAAGACATAGATTTAAGATAATGCTGCCAAGGCTCTGCCTTATTCGACATAAACCAGCAGGCCTTCTCGCGTTTCATGAAGGCCTGTTCACATAAAAGATGCCCTCCTGTGACCTGTTCTCACTGTCATCTGGAACCCAGATAAAGTTCACTGGTGCTGAAACAGGAAATGTGGAGGCGGCTGGGACCAAAAGATGCACTGTCTGATTAGGGATGAGCAAGAAGTCATAGTCTCCTCCTCTAGGCACCTCTAGTGAGTGTATGTCACCGCTAAGGATATGTGGCCATGCAAATCTTATGAAATGTAGGGATGTGTGCTGTTGCAGGTCATTTTTTTTTCTTTTTTTAAAATTTATTTATGTATACAAGAGCTGGGGTGTAGGCCAGAGGTGTGGGGGGCAAGAGGACTCACCAGAGATAGAGTGGAGAGCAGAACAGGTGGAGCTACTGAAATACACTGCTGAGGGGAGCAACAGGCCAGACAGGAGAGGTCTGCTGCACCATGTGGGTAGCTCCCTGGCCAGAGATTGAACTGACGCAGTAGTGGCTGGGATAGCTTGATAATGCTGAGACTTTAAGCCCCATGATACCAGGGAGACCCACAGGTCATTTTTCCAATGTGCAAAACTTGTTAATATTTTCATGGTCTTATATAAATAGTAATTTGATCCCATATAAAAAGAGTGCAGGTATAATGCTTAGGAGTGGGCTTTCTGAAGTAACTTCAGACAACATAACCTCACTGAGACTTAGTTTCCCTACCTTTAAAATGAAGGCAATAATTATGTTAACTCACGTGCTTTGGTTAATTGCTGTATTATAAGCCATAAAATGTAAGGTTCTTAATTTAGCTTTCCTCTTTCATTAGATTTTGAGTTGCCTTCATGATTTTAATCTTATAAAGTTGCTCTGCATATATCAAATAAGTATGTCAGTTCCATTTCCGATGACATTCCTGAGATAAAAACCTAGATTTGCTTCAGTATTCTTGAACAGTTTAAAACTAATCTTTTGAGGAGTAAGTGGAATAGTTTATAAAATGTCCTCAGCACAATGCTTTTGTTTAAAGGTGTTCAATAATTCTCAGCTATAATATTTTTCTCCTTATGTTATTATTTGAAACAATAGCAAACTATATAAACTAGCAACAGACTGACAAGCAATTTAAAATAGAGCAAATATTTCAAGATATTGGTCGAATTATTTCTATTCCTTTTATTCCAAGCTGCTACAACTCTAAAAATATTGCAGGATTTCCATTTATCAAACTATAATTTCATCCCTTTAAATAAAATATATGTCCATAAACCTTTTCAAGAGAAGCTGCATGGAAGAGTTATGATGCCCTGGGACACTCAGGATTGTTAGAACTTTCATATTGCTGAGAGTTTCTGAAATCTTTCTGAAGTTTAACAACGTGTCTAGGAGCTACAACTTTGATTTGATCTCAACTTGCAGACGACATTCTGATGTGATCTTTTCTTTGAGACAATGTCGTACTTGGAAAATGTTTGCCAGCTGGAGATTCTGTAAATGTGAAATTTTTTTTATTTTCCAACTCAGCAAGTCCTGGGTTGGAAATATATCCTCAAAAGTCTGCTTGAAAAGTACATTGTTTCTTCTTGGGCTTATCTCTGTCCTACAATATTATGTTATGTGTGACTAAAACATGACAATACTGTCAACTGTTTGCTTTGGCAGATCTACAAATTTATATTTTCTGTCTTCCCAGTTATTGCAGGCAATAGTGAAGTTAATTACTCAGACAATAATTATTCAGACTCCTCTTTTCTCCAGCCTTCAGAAACAGTTCCTTACTGCTCTTCCTTTTCCCAGTGATAATCTCCTCATACCCTCTAGTCTATATAATTAAGTTCATGGAATCTAATAGCCATGACTCCATGTTGAAGGTCAAAGTAGATTAAGAAAATAGAGAATTTCTCATAAAAATGGAATTTATATATTTTTTCAGTTTGCCTAAAGATGGCAAAGGATTTATAATAAAAAGAAACTTCAGTGAAATCATAGATGATAGAAATTCTGGTCAATGAAAGATGTGGGCTGAGCAGATACCATATTACTGCAGTTAAGATGTTTCCACAGGCTTTACACTGGAGACTTAGATTAATAATGAAATTTATTTTTCTCTCCTCTAAAAGCATAGGCCTTTATGATATCTATATTTGTAAGTATGTATTTTTGCTTTATTAAGCAATTCATTATGAAAAAACAGTAAATGCTTCTGTATTTTACATTTGAAAGTCATTAATAATAATAATTAACTTTATTAAGACTTAGGCATGTTTTCTTCATGTATGTGCAAATGAAGCATGTCTGATTATGCTGCATATTCAAATATGTCTTAATATCTCTAACATTCAAAAAATTTGAAATTCATATAGCTATCCAACTATTTCACCCTTTACACTACTATATTTTATGCTTAATAAAATAATATATAACATCCGTTATCTTCTCAGATATTTTTATAGAGTATGCTATTTCCACATTTTCATGGTAATTCCCTATAATCATATCTATAAAAAACAGCCCTACTTTTCATTTGTGACTTCACCTTTAACTATCTAGGAATAATTAAATATTATGCAAAATTTTAAGATGTATAGTATTTACTTGACTATCACTTATCCACAATTGTTTTACTGAATTATCCTACCAATAGTGCATAGCAAACTCTATTATACTGCACTCTTGCCGTTTTCTATTCTCATATTGTGAATCTAGGAGAAAAAAATACCATTTTTGTTCTGAATTACATTTCTTTTCTTTTTAAATAAACTTTTATGGAAGTGCAACATTAGTTTTTAACATTGCATACATTTCACAAGTCCAGTATAATATTGTGATGTGTACACACTGAATCATGATCACCGTGAAAGTCTGGTTTCCATCCACCCTCTATGTTTGACTCGTGTTTACATTTCTTATTTTCCCTCATTTAGATTTTTTCACATGTTCAGGAACCATTTTTATTTCCTTTGGAGAGATTACTGTTTGGTGTTCTTCACTCATTTTTTCCCCTAAGACTTACTGTTTACCTTACCAAATTATATATATGGATCACATAATAAAAATATTTACCCTTTAAACAAGAAATTTCCATTTGATCTTTATATCTTTAACTTTTTTAAAAACTATTTATTTATTTATGCATACAAGAACTGGGGCACAGGCCAGAGATGCAGGGGGTAAGAGGATTCATCAGAGACAGAGCAGGGAGCAGAACAGGTGGATCTATTGAAATACACTGCTGAGGGGAGCAGCGGGCGAGACAGGAGAGGTCTGCTGCTCCATGTGGGTTGCTCCTGGCTGGCCAGGATCGAACTCCTGCTGCAGAGGCTGTGGATTTTCATAGCGCTGCACTAAACACCTTGCACCACCAGGGAGGCCCTTTAACTTTTTTATATTAACTCCCTTTCCCTTCGTGATACATTCTAATGCTTTGAAAATTAGATATAATTTTTAAAAAGGTGATGATAAGGCTTCATTATCCTTAGATCTAATTTTGCTAAAGCAAAAAAGACAGATGCTGAAATGGAGTCCAAGGAAAAAGTGTTCTTTTTCACATTTGTTGTTTGCAAATTTTCAAATTATTAATGGGACATTTTATTCTATTTAACTGAAAAAAATGAACAAATAGAAAAGGATGTAGACATCTTTTGAAACACTGAGCACAGTAGCAACAAATATATTTTAGAGAGTATTAGTAATAAGTTTTGTTTCCTTTACTAATCTTCAAAAGAGCAAAGAAGAAAAATTTGAAACAGTTAATTGGAACAAGAGCTCATTAGTAGCTTTTGAAGGCCTCTGGCATTAGAAGGAATATAATATGTTGAAGGAAAATGAAATAGATGATTTTAGCTTCAAGCAACTAAAATATGAAGTCAGAATCCATACAAAGAATACTGTATAGTTTTCAACAGCGTGAGTCCAAAAGAAAATACCACATCAACTCTGGTAAAATAATTCAGAAACCAACACTTAATGGTTCCCATGAAAGTGTAACCTTTTGTCATAAATGAAATTGCCCAAGGCATCTCCGTTTAGGCTGAAGACACTGGCTAACAGAATACGATTGAGATATCAGTGTTTATTAGTTAATAATAAAAAAAGTGCTAATGACTTTCATTACTTTATTGTCTAAAATAACCTGAGGAGGGGCCTCCCTGGTGGTGCAAGGGGTTAAGCACAGGACTATGAAGCAATCTGCAGCCTCTGATGCACAAGTTTGATCCCTGGCCAGTCTGGGAG